GGCTCCTCCAGTATATTTTCCAACCATAAATCGAGATCCTCAACCATCCCATCATTTGACTCACCGGGGTTAATAACCACTTCCGTATCAACGCGTGGCTACGCATACCCGCTGGCGGCACACTGCTGAACGCTGCGGCATGAGCTATGCACGACGCCCAATGGGGCGTACGCAAGCTACCCGCAAACTTACCTACTACGGTCGGGTGCGCTGATACGGAAGTGGTCATCAACCCAGGCGAGTCGAAGGATGAGGATGGCGACGATATCAATATATGGTTGGACAATATGCTGGAGGAGCCATCAAGCCCGATATATCGACCTTCATGTGTACGAGATTGGCCAAAAGAATGTGGTCCGAAGTTAAAGGTGGAGGCTCGGAAACGCAAGACTAAGCAAGCCCGAAGGAAACGCAAGGCAAAGGCTAACGAATGGCAGTGTTGGTGCAAGCCTTGTGCGAGAAAGAGACGTGTATGGAAGATAGAAGCTCGAAGGCGAGGTAAGCAAAGAATGGAAGATGGTTGGATATGGCGAGTTGGAGATTGTATTGGGTTGGATGGTTGGGACCCATGGCCATCGGGCGAGCCAACGGAGTCAAGCGACAAACGGATCGAGGAAGATCAGCTATCGGGTGTATGGCGCGCATCGTGCCTTGATGCGCGCGAATGGCCGAGTGATCGAGCATGAGATGCGACGGGCGCAATGGATTGCGCAGTAGACAAGCAGGCCACGAGGATCGGCGATACGCAGGGAGCAGCTGGCACACGCGGGTGCGGAGTAGGCGATCGGAGTACGGCCATTGGACGGGACGCACGACTGTTAGGCAACGGGCACGCGGGGCATGGCGGATGCGCGAGTGGCGCGGACGCAATTGGCGGCCTAGGCCAAAGGGGCCTAAGAAAGGCGGCAGCACACGCGCGCGAAAAGGTCGGCGATGGCGAGGAGCGCGCTATGGCGCGCGAGTGTGGGGCAAGCACGGAAGTCCTAGGGCGCGAAGGTTTAGGCGAGGAGGACAGCACGCACGCGCGGGGGATGAGCGATAGGCGTGCAGCGCAAGACAACGGGGCACGTGCTGGGAAGGCGTGTGCGGACCCTGTCCGCACAGGACTAGGACTGGGAGATGGCGAGCGCGCGGGTGGCAGCGACGCGCGAGACGCGGCACGCGGATGGACAGCAGGCGCGATAGGCGCTGCGTGGGAGACAAGCGCGCAGGTTGCCGCGTGTAATATCCCGATATTTTATCGGTATAAATTATGTTTTAGTTCCGAGATAATAACGTTATCGATTATTATTTTCGGAATTAATTATTTTCAGTCGAGATTACCGAAATTCATTTTCGACGGACCGTTTACGTTCGAAATAATTTTGGTAATTAAGCATTATGTTTAATTAAATAATTAAACATTAGATAAGTGATTAATTAATATTAATCACCCTATTAAGATCATGAAGCCGTGCTTGAGGGAAATTATTTCCAACTAATTGCCAAAAAGGCCGTGAGCTAGAGGTAGATAATTGTTCCTATAGTATTCAAGTTCTTAATTCTTAAGGAAGCATTTTCACTCCATCCATTAGCTAGTACGCGTGTCAGCCTAAGGGGGGGAGTAGTCATCATTAATCATGCCAATAACAAGCAAGTGTCAAGCATAAAATTGGCCACATCCTCCCCTCATCATCACCCCTCAAGTTCGGCCATCTATAAGTAGGGGTGAGTTGAGAAATTTTCATCATTTTCCTCATATATATTCGCAGCCTATATTCTTATTCAAGCCTTAAGTTCAGCAGCAACAAGTTCAATCTAATTCCCTCAACAGCAAGTAACTCCATTATTCTCTCAACTCCTTATACTATCGCACGACATATATAGAAGAATCGCACGGCAAAAATTGAGCATACGCGCGACACACGCAAGGAAAAGGAATCACGCCCTATTTTTCCATTTCGGTCGGACGATTGACAAGGTAACGTCCTCCTCATCTTGTAATCTGGTTGGTAAGGTCATGTTAAGGTTAAGTGTTCGAATCATATTCGAGAAATTCTAGTAAAGCCGTTAAAGTAAGACCATGATCAAATAACTTTCGATTTT